GTAGGAAAATTCACACTTCCTGATTTTAAAACATATTATATTATACAACTATAGTAATCAAAACAATATCTGCTAGTATAACAGTAGACACATCAATCAATGGAATAAGATTGAGAGTCTAGAAGTTAAATCATGTATCTGTGGTCAAGGGAGTTTTGACTTGGAATCTAAGTACATTTGTTGGGGAATGAAGAGTCTCTTCAATAACTGGTACTGGGAAAATTGGATTTCTACATGCAGAAAAATGAAACAGGATCCTTGCCTCACACCGTATACAAAAGCAAATTCAAAATGGATTCAGAATCTAAATGTGCAACCTAAAGCCATAAAATTCCTAGAAGAACAAGGAAGGGCAGCAATGCCGGACCTTGCTTTCAGCAAAGGATAATATTATAACAAACAGCAAAAACAAATAAATAGGGCTTTATAAAGATTAAAACTTTTGTTCCTCAAAAAACTGACAAAAGTGAAAAGTCAAGCTACAACCAGGCAGAAACTGTCTCTGGCAAGAATCTCGTAATCCAAATATATATACCATATTTTTTTCACAAATAACACATACCTTCTACATTTGTTTGCCAACAGTTCCCTCCCTGTGGAGATGTTTTTATAAGTGCCTCTATGCCACATTTAAAAAAAATTAAGTTAACATAGTGTATTTACAAAAAGACCTCCTTGGAGAGGGGAGCGGTTGACAAACAAACATAGAAGGCTCATGTTATTAGCAAAAAATTTGGGTAAATTTTCAACAACTTAATAACAAAAAGACAAATAACCCAATCATAAATGAGCAAAGGACTTGAATAGCCATTTAACCAAAGAGGACATTCAAATGGCCATCAAACACATGCAGTCTGGTGCATTAGCCCTCAGCACCTCACCAGGACTCCTCCTTTAGCCATTGGAGAGATGCAAATCACAATGAAAATGAGATACCATTTCACTCAGGTAGATACAATCAAAACAAAACTAGAAAGTAAAAAATGTTGGTGAAGATAACGGGGAAAGAGGAACACTCATGTATTGCTGGTGGGACTTCAAAATTGTACAGCTGTTGTGAAGAACAATATGGCAGTTCCGTAAAGAAAGTAAAAATAAAACTACCCTCATACCAAATCAACTCAACTGTTGTTGAGTCAGTTCCAACTCATGAGAACTACCACATGACCCACAATTCCACTCCTAGGTATATATACCCCTACTTGAAAACAAGGACCCAAAAAGAGACTGTATACCAGTGTTCATTGTAACTACTTTTGCTATAGCTAATGCCCATCAACAGATGAATGGATTACCCCAGTGTGGTTTATGATATAATAGTGGAATACTACTCAGCCAGTTAGAGAAATGAAGTCTTGATACATGCTACAGTGTGGATGGAGCTTGAAGATGTTATGCTGAGCGATTAAGCTACACATGAAAGGACAAATATTGTATGATCTTACTTATAAGACAAGGGAAAGCAAGTGTAGAGACCACAGCTATCAGAGAAAAGTGAGGCTAATGATTGTGGGAAAATCACATTGACCAGGGGTAGGGTTGCACAGCTGATTGTTCTAATTGCTGTTAATAAATTGTATATCTGTAAAAAATTGAATTGGCAAAAGTGGTGTGATATATTTACAACTATGAGAACACTAAATAAAAACAAGGTTAGCTACTGAGGCTGCTTGCACAGAGTGAAACACCTTATGGCATTTGGTTCTTCATTTGGAGATTTAGGATCATGATTTCCTGGGGCATCTAGTTAGTTAGACTAGTAAGGTACTTAATGCTTCTTTTTCTAGTTCATTCCATTGTGCTTGGGTTGTAGACGGTTATAAACAGTTATAAACAGTAAGGCATAAGAATTGGTCTCTATTCATCTGGAACAACAGAGAGAAGGAGAGTCGTAAGTAGGAGGAAGACATGGAATGTGTGGATGATTGTTTCCATGAATACCTACCTCCTTTGCCTTGAGACCAGAAGCAGATGGTACTCGATTACCGTTACTGAAAAATCTGATCAAAGATTCCGTAGAATAATCCTGATCAGAAGGGGGAGTATGCAGAACAGAATATTAAATTCTAAGTGGACTTCTGGTGTAGCACTGTAGGATCAGCAGTGGACTGTGAACCACAAGGTTTGCACTTGAAACCTACCAACTGCTCCTCGGAAACCCTCTACAGGATCTGACTGGATGGCATTTAGCAACAACAAAAACAGCAACATGCACTCTAGACTACCTGAGGCCATAGAGGATGGACGGACCCCTTAAAATATTGCTTACATATTTTAAAACCTTAAAAGAAAAATCCCTTGAAGTCTTCTTAAAACTGAATAGTTGTTTAGTGTAACTAAAATGTTTGCTTTGAGCACTGTGTTCTTTTAAGAACTATATGGCGGTCAAATGGCCAGCAGCAACCTGAATGAATAGATCAGGAGGAACAACTCAGAGAAGGAATCTGAGAATGGTTGGACAACTTGAAGAACGTTGTCAACATCACTAAATCGTACTTGCAGAAACTTGAATTGGTGTTTGTTGTGCTGTGAACCCTTCTCAACAACAACATTTAGAACAAAAGTAGTAATAACAAACCCACTACATGTTAACACCAATGAAAATAACTGTTTTCCACAAACAAAAATTTAGTTGAACTGTGACATTGTACAGTTTTGTAAATTTCTTTAATATCCGCCTTAACAGAAGATAAGTGGGTTCTTGTGTGTGTTGCTGTATTTAATTTTCTGCGCTATCAGAGATGTCATGTAACCTCTGGAAAACTCCACTTACACATTCACGGATAAAGTTCTGCTTCTACCATGAAATAATTTTGACTTTGAAGACCTTTCACGTTTTGAAAACTGTGGATTTAGTGTGTCAGTGGGCTGAACACTTCACTTCTCCCTTAGAAAACCTCAGCTGGCAACACTGTTTTCAAGTGTTTCAGCTGCTGCTGTTTGTTTCACATGTAGGTTAGCTTTTTTGCTTGACGAGGGACATTCATAAGGAGCCCTGCTTGTGCAATGGTTATCTGGGCTGCTAACCCACCCACTCCACAGGACAAAGATGTGGGAGTTTGTTTACTTCCATAAAGATGACATCCTTGGAGAGTCAATGAGGGTAGTTCTACTCTGTCCCTTAGGATCTCTGAGTCAGAATGGGTTTGGTTTTTAAGGCCATTATTGTTATTGTTAAGTGCCATCTAGTTGGCTTTGACTCATCACGACCCTATATAGGGTTTCCGAGGAGTAGCTGATTCCGACCTTGCAATTCAAACCTACCTTGTGGTCCCATGCTTATCCTACAGCACCACATGTTTAAAATTTTGCATGCTTTGCTTTTCAGCTCACAAGCACTATCCAACTACCATGAAGTGGATGTTTGCTCTCTGCCAGTCTTTGGGTGTAGACGTTAGACCAGCTCAGTGTTGGACTGTTTATAATGAGGACTCTAGGTGACATGAGGCTCTTACCAGGGAGTTACGCTGAGTCTGGATCTGTAGGTACCTGTGTGCACGTGACCTAGCACTTGCTGCTTCGTTGGCCTTGAAGTCTCTGGACCACCCATGTAGCCCTTCTCTTCTTCTGACTCCTCATTTCTTGCAGTGAACTCATGCTCTCTAGGACTCCTGCTCTGTTTACCTCACCTGCGTCACAGCACAGCTCACATTAGGGGATAGTGTTCTTTGTCCTGTCTTCCTCTGTGCGTCCCTGAAGACAGAGTCTGAATCCTGCATACATGGAGTCCTGGTGGGACGCTTAGGATTAGCACTCGACCACAAGGTTGGTTTGAACCACAAGGTCAGTGATTCAAACTCACCAGCCGCTCCTCGGAAACCCTATACGGGATCACTATGAGTCAGAATCGACTCGACGGCACTTCACAACAACAACATCAACTACTACCTAGAACATTGGATCCACAATCAATATTCATGGAAGCAACACTCAAGAAATGAAACGATGTATTGCATCAGGCAAATCTGATGCAATAAAGATCAAATATGTCATTTTGAGGACTAAGTTGCGCCTGACCAAAGTCACGGTATTTTCAATGGCCTCATATGCATATGAAAGTTGGAAAATAAATAAGGAAGGCTATGGGTGAATCACTTAAGGTCAGCGGTTCGAAACTACCAGCTGCTCCGCGGGAGAAAGATGAGGCTTTCTACTCCCGTAAAGATTTACACCCTCGGAAACCCTGTACAGGGTCGCTATGGGTCGGAACCAACTCGATGGCACTTAACAACAACAACAACATGGGTGAATCACTGTATTTGGATTATGATGTTAGAAAAGAATATTGGAAGTACCATGGACTTCCAGAAGAACAAATAAATAAATCTGTGTTGGAAGAAGTACAGCCAGAATGTTCCTTAGAAGCCAGGATGGCAACACTTTATCTCTCAGACTTTGGCCATGTTATCAGGAGGGAGCAATCTCTGGAGAAGGACTTCATGCTTGGTAAATTGGAGGGTCAGCGAAAAAGAAGACCCCTAACAAGATGGATTGGTACATTGGCAGCAACAGTGGGCTCATGTGTAACAACAGTTGTGAGGATGGCACCGTAGAGGGCAGTGTTCATGCTGTTGTGCATAAGGTCACTGTGAATTGGTGGTACCTAACAACAACAACAACCAAGAACATACTGGGCACTTGGGAATATATAATGAAAATATCTGTGTGTGTTTGTGAGAGACAAGGCGGTCTCTAATCTCTAATGTCTCTAATTGCCAGTCAGAAACAGGATTTGGAAGTTGGGATCTCAGAGCTAGGTTTTGATACAAACAGTAGATTCGGAGCTTTGGTGCATTTGTATCATAATCATGTACTGTCTTCCTCCTCTTATATTTAAGAAGGAAGAAAGAAAGACACTGACCCAGTTTACTATCACAATTTCATATGCAGCTTAACTCACCTTCAGAGCAGACACGGCTTATCAAAAACTGTGGGTGTGATGTAAGTATTTTGACCTCCTAAAGCAACCGTACTTATTAAACATTTCCTCCCTCTTGCAGATATTAAAAAATATTACTTGGTATTCAGAGCGGGTTTTAACTGAGATTTCACTGGGGAGCCTCCTGATACTAGTCGTAATAAGAACCATTCAGTACAACATGACAAGGACAAGAGTAAGTATTTCTTAGCTATTTTTAACTTTATGTGAACAGACTCTAGCCTGTAGCAGTCCAAATTTTTAAAGTGTTAAAATCCTCATAAATTATCGTGTAAAAACATACAGACTTGCATGTGGTCATTGTAATAATAGGATCCCAAGGTAATCTACACAGTGCCTTTAACTTAATATTTTCGTTCACCTTTGTTTTTAAAAATTGTGGTAAATGTAGCACAATTGGTATTAAAAAGTGGTACTACAATATTTTCCCACGAACTTTTTGAAGCCCCCTTGTATAGGTAACAGTACATTTGCCATTCTATAATCTTCGCTTGTATGGTTTAGTGTGTTTCTGTATTGAATAATTAGTATGATCACAGACATTTTATATGACATAGAAAACAAGTAGTTGGAGCACATTGCTTTGTCTTTGTTATTGCAGAACCAATAAAATTGACTTACTTTTTAAAGAGTTGCAACAACAAATTTTAAGAAGGTGTGAGCAAAAGACGTTCAGACGGGAAAGAAACGTAGAAGAAAAAGACAGTTTTTCAGTTCTGTTGAATAGAATTTTGTTGTCAAAGAGAAGCAAAGTACAGAACTCATAGTAAGAAAAATATAACCATTTCACACTTATCTACAAGGAGTCCTGGTGGCACCGTAGTACAAGCACTGGACTGCTAACCACAAGGTCAGCAGTTCAAACCCACCAGCCAATCCACTTGAGAAATACTTACATAAAGACTTAACAGCCTTGGAAACCCCCTACAGGGTCTCTGAATTGTGATTGACTTAGCTACAGAGCCTTTGGTTTTGATTCACTTATCAACCTGGCTGGATTCCAAGGAGCAGGGTGTTAAGTAAAAGTAGATGAAGATCACATCAGATCAAAAAATGGCGTATGGTTGCGTCATTACATCCCTGCCCAATTATATTACATTACATAACTGTGAAGCTGCTGAGATTCATGGCCCAGCGAGGTGGACTCAGCCTTAAGCAGCACAGCCAGGGTGGTCTTGCCTTATTGTTAGCTATTGCCAGATATACGTCAGTTTGCAAAACAGTCTGACAGTAGATGTCTTGCTATTGTCGTAAATGTGAAGTGTCTGGATAATGGATAACGAGGCAGTCAATAAGTGAAGAGTAGGTGTGTGGTCAGTTTGTTGAATTATGATGTTCAGTTATTTCTCTCCGTGGGGCTAATGTAGATAAATGTCCACAATCCTCTATCTGAAACCCTACAGACTAGGTGGGTTTTAGAGCAGGAAGCTCCCCCACCCCTATTTTAGAGTATGCATATACTAACATATCCAACCATTAGAGTCTAGAGTGGAACTCTGTAATGTAATTCTGTGTTAGTATTTCTTCAGCAAATCATAAGTATTCTCAGTAGTGAGAATAAACATAAATCATAAACAGCATCATAGTCCTCTAGGTCATCCAGTGTTTACAAGTGAGTTGTGCAAAACTTTAAATTTTCAGTGGAATTAGGGGTAAGGGTTGTGGACCTAACTTTCCCAAACCAATGACAGTTGAGTTTATTGTTGCTCCTAATTATCCGTGCTTAAGATGTTGAGAAGACTTGATACGTGTCTTAAACTTGCTGTTTTCTGACAGGACAAGTACCTTCATACAAATTGTTTGGCAGCTTTAGCAAATATGTCGGCCCAGTTTCGCTCCCTCCATCAGTATGCTGCCCAGAGAATCATCAGGTAAATATGAACTTTACAAGAAAGTGGTGATTTTCATCTTGGCAGACTCATTGAGAAGTATATTATGATGGTCTCCTTTTCTTTGAGGAATGCCAGATTTTCTTGCTTAATTCTCATTGTCCTCGTGTTTTGTTGAAAGTATCTTGTTTTGTTTTCTACCCTAACTTTTCAATTAATATTAATCGTATCTACTTTTAGTTTTTTATATAATGTTGCTTAAAATTTTGTGGGTTAGCTTTTTATGGAGTAGTTGTGTTTCTTAGCTATTGTTGTTAGCATATTTGCTGAACATTTTATAGTATGTTACATAAAACTTTTAAGAGTTTATCTGTGTTTACCAACATTTGGCATACACTCCAGCATTTGTTATTTTCTTTTTCTTTTATTTTTTATTTATTTATTTTTCTAAAGGTTTTTATTGTGGCTTGAGTCAAAGTTTACAGCAGATCATCAGTTTTATATTCAACACATCATCCACTTTGTTTCATTACAATGATTATAATCTCCTCCATGTACATCAGCTAACTATTTCTCTCTATTCACTTTAGCGCTTTTTTTTTTTTTGCATTTGTTATTTTCTCTTTGTTTTTGTTTTAGATCTTAGCCAATGGAGGAGTGAAATAGTTCCTCACTGTGGTTTTGATTTAAATTTCTAATGGCATCTTTTGTCATTTCCAAAATAGTAAACCCTGTGATTGTCATATTCCGAAGAGCCTGTACCAGCCCATTTGAGCTCACTAGAGCCTAGGATATCATTCTTTGTGTATTCCATTTCATTTTTGACAACTTCCAATTTTCCTAGATTCGTACTTACTACATACAGTTTGTGCTCCTATTATTAATGGATCTTTACAGCTGTTTTGCCTCATTATGAGTTGTGCCCCACCAGCAAACAAAGGCCCTGAAAGCTTTACTGCATTTGTGTCATTATGATCAACTCTACTTTGATGAGGCAGCTCTTTCCCCATTTGCATTTTGAGTGCTTTCCAACCTAAGGCGCTCATCTTCCAGCCCTACAGCTGACAAGAATCTGATGTTCTTTATCATGTTTCAGTATTCACTGTTCTGGTGCTGACAGTGTTCCACTGCTACTCCTGAGGTTTTCAGTGTCTGAACATTCAGAAGTAGGCCACCTCTCCTTCTTCCTAGTCTGTCTTCATCTGGAAGTGCAGCTAAAACTTGTCCACCACAGGTGACCCTGCTGGTATTTAAAATACTGCTGACATAGTCTCCAGCAACACAGCAACAGATGAGCCACCACAACAGAGGAGCAGCGTTCAAGAACAAAGATGTTAGTTTGAGGATTTAAGTGCGCCTGACCCAAGCTATGGTATTTTCAGTAGCCTCATATGCATGTTCAAATTGGACACTGATTAAGGAAGATCATGGAAGAATTGAGGCATTTGTGTTATGGTGTTGGAGAAGAATATTAAAATTACCGTGGACTTCCAGAAGAACAAACAAATCTGTTTTGGAAGAAGTACAACCAGAATGTTCCTTAGAAACCAGAATGGCCAGACTTCATCTCTCATACTTTAGACATGTTATCAGGAAGGACCATTCTCTGGAAAGGACATCATGTTTGGTAAAGTGAAGGGGTGGAGAAGAAGAGGAATACCCCAATGAGATGGATTGGCAGCAACCATGGGCTCAAGTGTACCAACGATTGTGAGGCTGGTGTAGGAGTGGGCAGTGTTTTCCTTTGCTGTGCAGAAGAGGGTCACTATGAGTGAGAACTGACCGTCTGGCACCTATCGATTTTTCAGGCACTTGTTTGCTATTTGAATATTCTCTTTGGTGAAATACCTCTTCCAATCCTTCTTGTCCATTGTTGTTAAGTGCCATCAAGTTGGTTCCGATTCATAGCAACCCTGTATAGGTTTTCTGAGGAGCAGCTGGGGGATTTGACCCACTCACCTTGTGATTCAGATTGTATCCAGTGCTTGGTTTTTTGTTTTTTTTTCTTGTTAAGTTGTATAAGTTTTATACAAGAGGGATTTTAAAACTTTGTGGGGAAAATACCGACATCGCTTAATTCCATTTTTTCCATGAGCCCTCTTGGATGTATTTTGGATATTCGACCCTTATTGTATATATTATTCCTGAAATCTTCCTAAAAACTGTGGTGGTGGTGGTAGTGGTGGTTATGTGCCGTGGAGTCGGTTCTGACTCATAGCAACCCCATATAGGATTTCCAAGGCTGTAAATCTTTACGGGAGCAGAAAGCCTCATCTTTGTCCCGTGGAACAGCTGGTAGTTTCGAACTGCTGACCTTGTGGTTTGCTGCCCAATTCGTAACCACTACGCTACCAGAGCGCCTGTAAAAACTTTAAGTGTTTTGAATTTTTTTTTTAAAGTTAAGTCCTTTGATGAACAAAAGTATTTAAGTTGTTTAAAAACGTTTTATTGTGAATTGTGTGAAGGTTTTACAGACAAGGTGATCAGCGTTACATGCCACAAATCATGCACTTTCTGTCATCTCAGTGATTGTAGTCCCTTCCATGCACTGGCTATAGCCCACTTCCTCCCTGTGATTCCTGTTTCCATTCCATCCTTCTTTCCATCCCTTCTCAACTTTGTCCTTAGATAAATGTTGCCCCTTTGATTTGGAATGATTGACCATTCCATGGTGTGCATACCTCACTAGTAGTGTTTCCCTGCCTATATAACTATCTTCAGCTTGGCTGACAATTGGGCCACAAGAGCAGGTTGAAAATTATTTAATTTTTATGAGACTCTTTACCCATTTGTCTTCTGTTTCTCATGCTTTTGTATATCTGAGAATTAACAATAATTCATCATTATCAACTAGGCCCTGCAGGCATGTCCTATATTTTCTTCTAAGAATTTTATGGATTTTGTTTTCATATTTAGGTCCTTTATCCATTCTGAGTTGTTGTTATTTTGGTATAATATGAGTCATGGATCCTGATTCATTCTCTGCATATTGAAATCCAATTTCTCCAGCACCATTTATTGAATAGACTTTTCCTTTTCCACTAAATGGACTTAATTGTTGTTGCTAAGTGCCATCGAGTAGGTTCTGACTCATAGTGAACCTGTATAGGGTTTCCAATGAGTGGCTGGTGAGCTTGAACCACTGACATTGAAGTTCAAACCAACCTTGCAGTCCAGTGCATTAACCCACGGTGCCACACTTGTTGAAAATCAGTTCAATATAGATGTGTGGCTTTATTTATGGACTCTCTGTTCTGTTCCATTGGTCTGTGTGTTTGTTGGAGTGTGGTGGCTCCATATGACAAGCACTGGACTGCAAACAACACGGTCTGGGGTTCAAGGCCACCAACTGCTCTGCAGGAGAATGACAAATCTTTTTGCTCCCTTGAAGATTTAAAGCCTTGGAAACCCTATACATGGTCACTGTGAGTTGAAACCAGTTCAATGGCACTTAATAACAACAACAACAACAACAACAACAACAACAACAACAACGTGTCTGTTGTGCCAGTTACCTGACTGTTTTGATTACTATAGTTACGTAGTATTTCTTTTATATAACATGCCAATACCACCATGATGGTTTTGTTTATTATTGCAGTTGCTGAGAACATGTACAACGCAGCCACTGTATGATTTGATTTGATTTCTTTAAACATTACTAAAGTGTGCACTAAAAATGTTTACGTTTTAAATGTGTAACACATTGAAGAGGTTCTCTGCAACTATAACTCCCTCTCAATATGTTTGGCTTGTTTTGTTTCATATATATATTAATCTACAAAGCCATAAATAAAACTATCAACTCTTATGGCCTAAGACTACATACAAATTTTGTTTTATGAGATTGACAGTGTTTTATTTTGTTTTTTAATAATATGTTTTGAAATTAGAAAATGTGAATCCTCTTACTTTATTCTTCAGTTCACAATTTCTTTGGCTGTTTGGGGCTTCTTCCCACGCTATACAAAATCGGGGATTGGATTTTCCATTTCTATACAGAAGGCTGTTTGGATTTTGGTCATGATTGTGTTGAACCTACACATTACTTTGGATAGTGTTTATATCATATCGACATTAAGTCTTCCAGTCCATGAACATAGAGTATCTTTCGATTTGTTTCTATATTCTTTAATCTCTCTCAGCAGTGTTTTCTAAATCACAATATTACAACTTTCATACATAAAGAACTCTTAAAGTTTAACAACAACAAAAGAAATCAAATATCCCAGTTGAAAAATGAGCAAAGGACTTGAGTAGACATTTTACCAAAGAAGATATACACTTGGCCAAATAAGCACATGAAAAGATACTCAAGTTCATAATTATTATGAAAATGCATGTTAAAACCACAAGGAGGTACCACTTCAGACCCATTGTTGTTATGTGCCGTGGAGTCGGTTCTGACTCATAGTGACTCTGTACAGGGTTTCTGAGACTGTAAATCTTTATGGGAGCAGAAATCCTCATCTTTCTCCCACGGAACAGCTGGTAGTTTTGAACTGCTGACATTAAGGTTTGCAGCCTGATTCATAACCACTACGCTACCGGAGCTCCTTTAGAATGGTCTAAAACGAACAAACAGCGAGTAACAAGTGTCAGTAAGGATGTGTGGAACCGGAACCATTGTACTTTACTGGTGTTGTTGTGAATTAAGTGCCGTCAAGTGGTTTCCGAGTCATAGCAACCCTGCATGGGGTTTCTGAGGAGTGGCTGGTGAGTTTGAACCACTGTCCTTGTGGTTCAAAGTGACCTTATGGTCGAGTGTTAATCATGCAGAGCCACTCTAGTAATGTAAAATGATTCAGCTGCTGTGGAATAAGTTTGTCTGTTCCTCAACAGATTAGACATACTATGCATCATTCCTGCTCTAGGTGTATACCGAAGGCATTGGAAACGCACTGAAGTAAACACAAGCACACACAGAATGATTCTGTTAGGACACATTCTTCATGACATAATAGCCCGAAGATGGAAATGGTCTATTCATCCATCAAGTTATGCATGGGTAAACACATTTTGGTATTCATAAACAATGACGT